TGTGTTATTAGACCTTCAAATACACTTGGGCCCAGTAGCATTTTTCTAGGAATGTACTCTAAGTATACATTTTAGCAAGAGTACAGTTATGTGTAGAAGAATACTACTGCAGCGTTGTTAGAAATAGAAAAACAAAACAGGCCACAATTTATCCTGGTGATTCCATCATGTGATAATCTTAAAGTGTAATAGTATCCAACACTTTTAAAAGTTAATTTGAATATATGTATTTTTTGACATGGGAAAATGGTCACAATTAAACTTTCCTAAACAAGAAAATGTATAAATCTCTATATAGCTTACCTTTATTTTTGCAAACTTTCTAACATACTTGCCTGAATGCGTAGAAAAAAACTTATAAAGCAAAATGTAAACAGTAGCAACATCAGTAAGATTTTACTTTTAATTTTTACTTTTACCATTTTTCATGTTGCTTCCTATTATTCTATGATGAACATATATTGTCTGAACAAAATTGTACAAAAAATTGTTTCAAAAAATTGAAAGCATTTTCCAAATGGTAAATTACAAGACAAATGTGAAGGGGATCATAATATTCACATGAGACGGGTTTCTCCCAAATTTCAGATGTAAATCTAGAATTGAGCAGCAATAAGCTGTGACATTTTCAAAAGCTCAGAAATATGAGCTGGCCCCCAATAAAGGACACCATCTGGCTATGGCTTTGTTAGAGGTTTTCTTTTCGATTACATTTTCTGTCATTTTTGCATAAAAATGCTTCTCTCAGTGTATTTCAAGCACATGTTTGGAAGGTTCTATGCTGGGCTGCATTCAGCGCATTTAGCTGTATTGTGCCGGCATTTAGCACTAAGCTTTAGGCGGTTAGGCAGGTGTTTTCTACTTAAATACTAACAGGGAAGAAGTAATATGGAATAGAAGGTCAGGGACAGGGCAGGAAACATGATTATCATGGCCTAAGGCCTGGAACACATCCCTGGAAACAGACAAAATGCTGTGGAGGTTAGGAAATGTCTTTTTTACTCTTTTTTTTTCCATAGCTGATTGCTTGTGTGAATGTGCAATCAGGTATTTCAATCCTTTTCTGAAAATCTAGTTTGGCTTTTGTAAGATGGCCTTAAGTTATAGTATTTTTGCCATGTGGGTCTGAATCCATTGCTAAGCTAACAATTCATAAATGTGTTTCTTTTCCTTTCAGCATTTGACATTTTGCACTACTCATTAAGAGAACTGATATAATGCAGAAGTCGTTCATAAAAGATAGAAGAAAATAATTTCTATCAAAATTTTATCAAGACAGTCACCCACTTTGAATCAGGAAAGCACTTATTTTACAGCATATGAGTACATGATGAATATATGCAGGACTTTCCACACCAAAATTCCATATATGGAAGCTGTTATTTTGAAATTCAGCTGCTATAAAACTTTCCTCCACGTTTGGATTGAACAAATATGACATGCTTTCATGGAATTAACTCTACAAATGTTAATGGTCTTTCGATATGACCATTATGTGGTTTCTAAGGCTTTTCTATAATAATGTAACAAGGGATTGTCTCTCTACCTCCCTATCTCACATAGTCTAGAATAAACACACACTCCTTTGATCAAAAGTTGCAGAGACAATTTCCTATATTAGGATCCACTTTAAGTTTACATAGGTTTTCATGATTGCACAGGCACTATGGTAATTAATTAGAAGCAACTGGATCAGAGGGTACTTAACAATGTCAGTCATCTGTCAGCATCATCCTTTCTGAGGGCATGAGAAAATAATTGATTTATAAGAGAAGAGTAAGGGATAGGTTAAGAGTAAGGGGAATCTGCCTGAAATGTAAAGAATTACACTTTGAAAAGGAATTTTAAGGCAACATATTTCGCTTAGATTCCTCGTTGTCAAAGAGTTTCTATTGACTACCTTCAGATGGAGCCAGGTATTTGCATAGTATGTTGTTACATCTTATATTTGAAGTTGTGGTCTTTGTCAATCCATTACTGGCATCAAATGGCAGGAAAATCTCTGTCTCACATTGTCTAAGGGGAATTTTATTAGAGATAGCATTTTCAGGGTGTATTTGAAGGAGGAAAGCAGATAATTTTACCTTTAGCTATGTTTTATTGAGCAGAGAAAGGGTGAAATTGGCATTACAGTTTGCTGGTCTTACAAGAAGAGAGAAAAAAAAATTGCAGAAGTAGCAAAGGCAGTATATTTTACCATCAATTTTTTCTTTCCGCTTACTGCCAACAATTATTTAGTAACAAAGATGATGAAAATAGAATTCGAATTTTGAAGGATGCCTAACTGTAGAAGTAACATTTTACATCCAGTAGGGAGTCATAGAACTTTACAGAACTTCTAAGTATTAGAAGGCTGCACCTAAGTATGGTGGAATGAAAGAGGCAGGAAAGTTGACACTGGCTGCGGTTCAGGTTTTTCTCTTTCCATGCCTACAGAGATGGCATGATTGATTCCAGGGCAGATTTCCAGGGACTGCCGTAGTAAGACTTTTAAGAAAAGTCTTTTTTTAATATCTCTTTTTATTCTTTATCTTAAACAGCTCTTTTGTATTTAGTTGCCTGAACTTTTTATCAGTGAGAGATAACTGACAAAAGATATTGAGAGTTAACATTTTAGAGTAGAGAAGTGTAATTTCAGTTGGGACTCCTTTTTTGATTAGTTTGTGTTTTGGAAGGGGGTTATGTAAGGTTGCCGAATGATTCAAGCTAAGAATGTGAAGTATCAAAATACTATTCAACTTCTGGATTTCCTCTTGGCATGTATATTGTTGCATAACAAATTTCTACTGAGTATAAAAATTTTGGCTTAAAACAAGACAAATTTATCGTCTCACAGATCTGTAGGTCAGAGGTCTATGGTTGGATCTTCTGCTCAGGATTTAACAAGGCTGGCATTGAAGTGTTGGCCAAACTATGTTTTTTGAACTCAGGATCCTCTTTCAAGATGACACGGCTTTTGGCAGAAATTACTTCCTTGCGATTGTAGGACTAAGGTTCTCATTCTTTTTGCTGGCTAGTAGCCAGGAGCTGCTCTCAGCTTCTGGAGGCTACTCAGTCCCCCAACGTGTGATGTGGTCTTCTCTACAAAATGGCATTTTGCGTCTCCAAGACTAGCAGGAGAATCCCACTCATGCTTTGAATCTCTTCGTTTTGAGAGATACCACCTGTTGAAGTCCGGTCCATTCAGATATTGGCCTTCTGATTAAATCAAAATCAAATTATTTGCTGCCTTATGTCTACAAAATCCCTTTGGTCGTAATATGACACAGTCATGCCTACACTCAACAGGAAGGGCTTCTATACGGTGTATACACTGGGGGATGTGAATCTTGGGAGCCAGATTAGAATTCTGCCTATCGTAGCATGATTTTGAAGACTGATATATGGAAATAAAACAGTATTTCAAGTTCTAAAATCTGGTATGGGAAGACTGGAGATTGAACTAGGAGTAGGTATATCCAGATATTAAGGGAAATAAACACAGAAAAGAAAGACTTGGGACTGCAAGTGATTTTTTTTTTTTTGACAGATTGAGAATGAGAAATGTATGACTTGTAGAAACACACAGAAGTTTCAGGATGGCATGCAGTAAGCAAAAACAAACAAACGGAACAATATTCTAAAGAAGTCTCTATTCATTTGTAAATAGGAAGTATCTACCTCAACAACTTTCTCCTCATTTTTCTCTATTTAAAGTAATTTATTAATTCTACACCCCCCAAATGTTGTATTTAAATATTTTGTTTTCTTGTATTTTTGATTTCAAAATATAAGAATTTTTTGAAGAATAATTACAAGGGTCAGCTTTTTCTTTTTAAGCATATCATGAAAAATTTACTAAATGCCATGTTGTATTCACATGGAAGATAAGCATTTTCACTACTGTGTTGAGAAGATTAGATATGCAAACCCTTACATGGTATTGTCGTATTTACAATTTAAATTCATACAGAGAGGATCGGAATGGAAGCAGGGGCAGGGGCTAGGATGGAAGAAGGAATTGCCAAATTTAATACATTTCTAATTTTTTCTTGGTGTATGCTGAACAAGTTGGCATTCTCCTCATAATTATACTTTCTATATTCAACCATAAATTACCTTGCAGTCCATTATTCTCTAGTTTAAATAATTCCAATCCAATTAAGTTTCCCTTGTAAAACCTATTGTCTAACTGTTTAATAGCTTTCCTTTTTTCTCTTTAAATTTATGTTTTTCTATATGACTTTAAAACTTTAGAGTGCAGGCATTATGATATACGCTATTAGGCATATGGAGGTTTTGTAATTCATTGATAACTATGGATTGTAGGTTATATTTATATACTTTTATTGTTAATCTAAAAATGACAATGTAGGCCTTGATAAGAACATGACTACTTAATCTCACTTTTTCATTTTTGAATTTCCACCGAGAATACCTAGAGGCCCATGATTCAATGCAAGCCTACTAGAAAGCTCATTTTACATCCAGTGGAAGAAGTAGCTGAGCAATTGCCTTGGAATTTTTCACTGCCTTGCTCAGATGCCCTAGATGTTTAAGTAGTCTTTTGAGATGTCTTTAAGATATTGTATTATTTTTTTATTTCACTAGACTACTGCTGGATTCCTTAATAAACATGATTACGTATACGTATGAAATGATTCAGAGAATATGTTAGTACAAATTCCACAATTGGGAATTGTATTTCAAGAGGGTAGTTTGTATACTGAGTCTAGTATCACTGAATCAAACCATTCATAAATTCGTTTCATTTTTTTTTTAAACCTAAACTGCATGGCTTTGACATCGCAAAAACTTGTTTGGTTTTGACATGGGAAGTTCTAAGTATGTTTGCATGATGGATATCAGGCTCAATTAAGATACAATATTCTAGAACAAGAAGAGAATAAAAAGCCACTTAAAAAAAGATTCAACATCTACATTCAGATAAAAAGTGGCAGGGGCCAAAATTTGTGTTTGAGACTAAGAACAAGACACTCCAAAATATAATTATGTATAAATCATGCCACAAACAAGAGAATAAACACAGGCTGAATGCTCATCATGGTCTGAGGAATGCGGACCTGAAAATAGCCCTGTTTTTTGGCAAGATATACAATATTCCAATCTAAGTAAGAAAGGAAAGCCAAAAAATAGGTCTAATTACACTTTGTATAAGCAGAGATTGACAGACTAGCTTCACCTGGATTCTGAAACATGATGAATAAAAATACCTTTATGAAAGGCTTAGTCAGGGACTAGTGGAGAAGTCCTGCTGCAGTTTGAGTTTTAAAGGACAAATACATAATAGAGAGTTGAATGAAAGGATTTTAATCTGGCCAGATCTGAATTTGAGAGGCTTTATCATGAAGAGCCAAATTACATCGAAAATGCCTCAGTAAACTATCTTTGTTGGCAAGGTAGAAACCTTTATATTATCTCCTTTTAAAATGGTTTTGAAGGTGATGGTCAGGTTTAAGGATAAAAAGTATTTGAGTCCAAAGTAAAGTGTAATAGTAAGGGGAAAGGCTTCCAGGGGTAGACACCAAGAGTTTTACTTCTCCCAAATAGGAGAAAGATATCTGATTGTTCTGCAAATAGGCACAGGAGTTGTCTCTTCCTGTGTCATAGGGTAAACATAAGAAATATAAAGTATCTCCTTCAGTTCCTGCCCTATATATTTTATAACTTTTATACATATAAACATTAAACTCTTTCCTGCAGTCATGGGCATATCTAGTCTCAATATTTCTTGATTACTAACAAATGGTGGAAACTCAGCAACAGGTCATTTATTAATGATAAATTTCAAGTACTTGGCTTTAATTTGACATATTTACTTAGTCTCTGAATCTAACTTTTACTGATTGTGTTGACAAAAGAGATCACAGCACAATATGACTTACTCAGTAATGACCAAGATACTGAAGAGACTACAAAATAAAATCTGAAAGTGAATTATATTTGGAGAATCTAGTGACAGCTCGAGGGGCTGAACTTATGGAATGTAACATGAGCAACATTTCTCTAGAAATGCTAATTTTGAAACGTGTTTTGTTTTCATGTTTAATCTTTCAATTTGTACATTGAGATTTTTCTGTTAGTATAAGGAGAACATAGTATGAAATTTTAAATTTCTGGGGATCCCTGGATGGCTCAGCGGTTTAGCACCTGCCTTTGGCCCAGGGTGCAATCCTGGAGTCTGGGGATCAAGTCCCGCGTCGGGCTCCCGGCATGGAGCCTGCTTCTCCCTCCTCCTGTGTCTCTGCCTCTCTCTCTCTCTCTATGTCTATCATTAATAAATAAATAAATAAATCTTAAAAAAAGAAACTTTAAATTCCTAAATATGATGAATAGTACAATTATGTTTTACTATATTACATAAATGATTCTGTAAACCTATAAATGAATTAAAATATATTTCATATATGTACAGATATGTATGAAGTATACATATGTCTGTAAGAGTATGAAAACTCTTTAGAGTATGAAAACTCTAAAAAATAGTATGCATAAAGGAATTGTATACTTGCTAATTTAATTAAAATGAGATAGGGAGAGCCATAAACTTGTAATAAGTAAGGGGATGGAAAATATCAGATAACAATTTAGAGGATGCAGGGAAGAGTTAGATATGAAGGTGTTTGGCATCCAGAATTACATAAATCTCCCTGAATTATCTGAATTTTCTTTTTCTAGTGGTATTTTAATGTTTTTGAATATAAATTAAATTATTTGACATATTACTTATTATTAGTTTCAGAGATAGAGGTCAGTGATTCACCAGTCTTTTTTGTTTTTTTTACCAGTCTTATTTAATACCCAGTGCTCATTACATCACATGCCCTATTTAATGTCCATCACCCAGTTACCCCATTCTCCATCTCTTCAAACCCTTCCCTTCCAGCAACCCTTAGTTTATTTCCTATGATTAAGAGTTTCTTATGGTTTGTCTCCCTTTATAATTTCATCTTGTTTTATTCTTTCCTCCCTTCCCCTTGGATCCTCTGTTTTGTTTCTTAAATTCCACTTTGAGTGAGATCATATAATAGTTGTCTTTCTTTGATTGACTTATTTTGTTTAGCATAATACCCTCTAGTTCCATCCACATCATTGCAAATGGCAAGATTTCATTTTTGATTGCTGAGTAGTAGTATTCCAGTGTGTGTGTGTGTGTGTGTGTACCACATTTTCTTTATCCATTAATCTGTGGTGGACATCTGGGCTCTTTCCATAGTTTTTACCTGAATTTTTATAAGTGAGCTTCATTTTATAAATATCTAAACTGCCTTTAGTCCATCAGGGTAATAGTGCCTAAATATGAACTTTGAAAGAAGAGTTTTGGAAAGCTATGTTATAAATGTTTTTTAATTTATTATGCTTGAAGTTATATTATAAAAAGTGATACTTTATGATTTATATACATTATTTTTGTGGATTATTATTGAAAGGATTAGGTTAGCAAATCTATAAGTAAATGAATAGTACATTAAAAACAAGTACAAAGGTCTTTGGAGGAATGGCTGATTCTAGGACTGCAACAGGAAATATACAATGAGCCTTAAGCCTGGAGGATTTTATAGTGTCAGAAGGTAAGAAAGTGGTAAAGATGAAAACTTGACAGTTATGTGTTTATGTTAAAGGGATACTCGAACCAAATGAAATCACTACCAATGGCCAAAGCTGGAACAACTTGTACAAGAAATAAAGTAGTATAGGATCATTATCCAAAACATAAATAACCATAATAACTCATAATAATGAGTCTATACAGATACAAATAAATGATTGAGCAAACAAGTGAATAAATGAGGGATGAGTTACAACTCCCTTATAAAAGATCTCAAAATAACATACAGATACTTCTTTCTGAAGGACATGTACCATAACTCCTTATCTTTAAGTGTGGGCTATACTAACTTCCTTCCAAAGAGTACAGTTATGGAAAGAGAGGGAACAAAAAAGAGTAACTTTACAGTGGAGACATCTGATAAACCATGCTTCAACCAACTGATTAAGGTCAATACTAACAATTATAAATCATGTTGATACTACGTACTCTTGATATTATAGTAGAAAAATAGTACTTTACTACCATGGCTTTTTTTTTTTAAGATTTATTTATTTTTTTGAGAGAGAGAGTGGAAGGAGGGCAGAGGGAGGGAGGGAGAGAGAGAGAGAGAGAGAGAGAGAGAGAGAATCTCAAGCAGATTCCAGACTGAGCTCAAACTGAGCTCAATCCTAGGACCCAAAGATTGTGACCTGAGCCAAAACTAAGAGTCAAGTGCTTAACTGACTCAGCCACCTATCCACCCCACTACCATGATCTTTCTTACAAAATCTTTAATCTCAATCTAATCATGATTAAAATATCAAATAACTATTAAGGGGTATTTTATAAAATGCTTGACAAGTAATCCTCAAAATTATCATGGCCATCAAAAATAAAGTCTGAGAAACTGTCACAGCCAAGAGGACTCTAAAGAGACATGATGACTAAATGCAATGTGGTTTCCTGGATGGGATTCTGAGAGAGAAAACAACATGACATTTATCTACCTGGTGCATTTTGAGCATGATTGTATGATAAATGTTAGGCTCAATTAGTAATTAACAATATGGTACTCTTTCCTTTGGATAGTAAAGTAGCAAGGAACAAATTAACCAACAGCAGAAAAATAATACTACAAGAGATTTCCACTATAAACACAGATGCAATACTACTTATTAAAATACTAGCATATCAAATCCAAAAATATACAGAAAAGACAATGCATTCTGATCAATAAGGTTTATCCCAGTAATATAAACTTAATTTAACATTCACAATATTAATTAATGTAATTAACCTCATCAACAGACTAAAGAAGAAAATGGCATGATAGTTTAATGGAGGTAGAAAAGGCACTAGACAAATTTAACAATTCATTCATAAAATTTCTTGGTAAATATGATTAACAGTGTATTTTTTCAAATTGATAAAATTTATCTAGAAGAAACCTACAGCCAGCATCATACTAAATGCTGAAATATGGATGCTTTTTCCCTAAGATTAGAAATCTCTGGGCGATCATGTTAATCCTACCAGTTATAGTCAATATTTTACTGTAAGTTTCAGCCAGTGCAATAAGGTAAAGCAAGAAAAATTGATAGTAAGGAGACATGGAGATTAGAGAAGCATGATAGTCTGTAAAATACATGAAAGGATGTATTAAACTACTAGAACTAATGAATTTTCTTAACATCACACAAAATATGGTCAATATACGAAACCCATTTGTATCATTCACTATAATACTACTATATAAGTAGTTGGAAATTGAATTGTTACTTGTAATAGAACCAATAAGTGAGAACTATTAATGCATAAAGGTAAAAAAAATGCGCAATACCAGTGTAGTGAAAACTACAAAATATTGCTGACAGAAATTAAAGAAAACAAATGAAGTGGAGAAATATTCCATGATTATGGATTGGAACACTCAGTAGTGATCCGAACTGATCTATAGATTTAATGTATTCCTAATTACAATGCCAGCAGATTATTTTATAGAAACTGACAAACTGTATCAAACATTTATGTGAAAATATAAAAGCACATAAAATAGCTAAATAATTTTGAAAAGAACAAATTTGGAAGACATATTATTTGATCTCAGTACTATAAAAGGTGTGAGTTTTGTGTAAGGATAAACATATGCACCAATGAAACAGAATAAAGTTCAGGGAAAAAAAAGCCAACATACAAGTATGACTGTAATTGATTTTGAATAAAATGCAATGGGGATATAATAGGGGGGAAACTAGGGGATCCCTGGGTGGCGCAGCGGTTTGGCGCCTGCCTTTGGCCCAGGGCGCGATCCTGGAGACCCGGGATCGAGTCCCACGTCGGGCTCCCGGTGCATGGAGCCTGCTTCTCCCTCTGCCTGTGTCTCTGCCTCTCTCTCTCTCTCTCTCTCTCTCTGTGACTATCATAAATAACTAAAATAAGAAATATATATATATTTAAAAAAATAGGGGGGAAACTAGCCTTTTCAATGAATGATGCTGTAATACTTGGAAATCTGTTTTGGGATAAAAACAATTTTCAACTTTACATCACACCATACACAAGTCACTTTGAAATGA